CTCCCTTGAATCCGCCCGAAAAAACGAGTAAAGAAAATACACACGCCTGGAGAAGAAGAAGAAAAAAGAGCATCGAACTTGGCTCGTGTATTTCCACCCATCGAAATTTCCCGTCGGTCTCCGCGACGTCCTCCTCGTAATCCGGTGTTCCCGGAGGGTCGGCACGGCACGTCTAACAAATCGGTTCGTGGGCATAAATTGAAATGCTAAAAGCGAAATTGGGTAGGAATTAGGAAAAACGCCGCGAAATGGGACGATGATTACGCGGAGAAAAGTTGCAGGCGGGTAGCCTAGGCATTCGAGGGGTTGGGGCGGCGAGGGGCGGTCGGACGGAGGTGGGCCCAGGGGCGAAGTCGGAATTCTCTTAGCCCGCGTGACGGGGGAGGGGGGTGAGAGTTGCGCTGGCCATCAGGTTCTATGGTGGAACAGCGACTAGAACGAGGGTGAAGGAGAGGGTGAGCGAGCCAAAGCAAAGCAGGGGGTGGAGTGGTGGGGCAGCGTGGGGCAGCGTCTTACTGAACGAAAGGGGAGGCCGGCGTAGAAACGCGGCGAGGAAAGGGAATGGTTACGGGGTTGCGATGGTGGAGGGTGCTCCGAGTGCCGCGTAAATAACTTCCATCTTCGAGGGTGCAACCACCCCCTCCTATCGGGGGGATGGACCTCGTGAAGAGAACGAGAGAGAGAGAGAGAGAGATAGAAGGGAAAAAAGGCGAAAAAAAGGGGAGAGGCGAGCGAGGGTGAAGAGGGTGGTGATTCCGTTGGAAGAGGGAGACGTAAAATATTCTTAATGAGCAAAGACTTTCAAGTATTGACTCAAAATGGCGGCCGTCCTTTCAAGTCGGCTTGTTAAGCATTATTCCGCGCCCTACCGCCCCCTTTCCTCTTCACCCTGCGCTTTGTGCGAATTCTCGTCCTTCCTTGTCCTCTTCGTCGTTCTTCGTGCGCACCGCTTGCTTAGCGTGCCAGTATCCTCTACGCAAGGACACTAATCCGTCCACCCTGCCCTCCCACGTCCTCTCCAGCTCGCCGTACGCTTTTGGCCGATGTACAGTCGCAAACAAGGGAAAGGAGCAGAAGAAAGGAAAAAAAAAAAACTGTGGAGAAAGGACTCTGAGAAGCTGATGCCTATGACGGGTAGGTATAGACCCCGCCGATCTTTTTGAGGTCTTTATTAGGTCGAAGAAGACAAGGAACCAAGTCCCTTCCCTCGGTTTTCTCTTCGCCCATGTCAAAGGAAACGACTTACAATGGACCTGTTTCACCGCGAACCGACGAAACTCCTTTTTGTTACAATATTTACAAGGGCCAAAGCCATCGCGCCGGAAACATTCAGACGATTCCTCGAGCAGTGGCGCGTAAATACTAATTCAAATTTTGGAATGAATGCAGGAATTTGCAAAATAGTGACATTCTGACGTTCCTTTTTAAACACGATTCCTGTGCATCTTTTTATACGTTAATCAATTAAATATTGTCGATATGACTAGCAATAAATACAATTTTATATCGTTGTAACAGTTTAGTGCTGTTACTTTACTGACTTTTTCTGTATCTACATATACCCACTGTGAAGTTAAAATAATATGTATAATATATTGTTAAAATAACGAAACTAACTCCTTTCTCTATCGATAAAATTCTAATCCTAATTTTCAATCTATATTTACTTCTCACTCTTGCAGAGACCATCATCCTACTTTTTATATTTTTTAACACCCTCGTAAAAATAAATATCGTAAATCCAATCCCGTAGCTGTTCTAAAATTCACCTTCGATAAAAACTGCAAATAGAGAGGTATCAGAGCACCGACTTAACACTCTGGTCGCCAGAATTTCACTTGTTATCACTTTACTTTTCCTCTGCATTTATTTGTCTTCGTAGCAACCAAACTCGCACAATTTTAGCAATTTGTATACAAAAACACAGTCTAGAAGATTTCGTCCGTCGCGATTCAATTATCTCAATTCAACCCTTTCGTCGCTATTGACGCCTATAGACACTTTCGAAAATTGTTTGCACCGTGCAGTTTGTACTTTTTGCTGCACTTCCACGCTCGTTCAATTCTTAATCTTATTTTTCAAGTACCTCGACCTTAATATAACAAAACAAACTTTGAAACGACACAGCCAAAAGCGTAGCGAAAGGGTTAAACCTTTAATAATCTCGCCAATACCAGTCTTAAGCATGTATCTCAAAAAACTTTGATCCTTTACTCTTTTATTACATATTTGCAAGTTCGGTTATCCTAGACCGATTACGTTCGAACACAGATCTGTCCCTTTAATCAACATTTTGCGTAATGTATACACCGGCGGACACTAACACATGCGTACAAAGTGTTAAAATCTCTCGATTCACGTTCGATTCGAAGGCGAAATATTTTCCGACGGATCGTAACCATGCTCAGACACGTGATCCTTAATTCCAAGGCAAGCGAAGATGGAAAAGTCCGGCGAGAGTCCCAAATTCTTTAAGACTCTCTTCCCGGTGGATGGAAGGCTATCGAGGCTTTTTACAAAAAGGCTTTCGTACGAATGGATCAAGGAGTGGATTATTTAAGGGAGAGGGCCAGGAGCGTTGGGCACGCGGCTCGAGGCTTGTTAGAACTTGGCTTTCGCTTTGAACCGTCGTGAACCGCTTCCCCCTGTTCCTCGCGGGGGGACCGGAATAAGGGTTAAAAATGTATAAGATAAGATAGAAAGCGGCGGTGGTAGGAGAAGGAGAAAAAAGAGGGCCAATAGCTCGGGGCCAAAGGAGACAGTGAAATGGAGGAGAACGTGAAACCGAGACAGAGAGAACTTTCATTATTGATCAAAGAAACTGAGTGTCCCTTCCCTCCCCAAAAGCTTGTTCTATTCAACTTGCCTTCGGCTTTCCATTAAAAATACCGGCGTCATCCGCTTTTTGCGACGTCGACACGATCTCGCATTCCGATACTATCCGTGTGTATTACCGTGTCCTCTTTTACTTTCGCCGCTTATTTATTAACTCCTATGGCTTGCACGGATACCCTAATTCTATTATCGACGCAGCCGGAAGCTTCGTGTAGACCCGTTTAGTACGTTGAATATATTAATTAAATTTTTCTTTTCGCAACACTCTCCGATCGGCGCCGATAAAGATCTTTTTTAAAGGGAACAGCTGGGATGTTCGGTAATTTTCTGGTATTAATATTACAGCGGAATAGCTGTGAATGCGTATTGAAGAAGATGTTCCAAGGAAAGGATAGATTATTTTGCATCTAGGAAAAATGTAATTACTGTTTTTTTTTTAAATTGAAGTGGAAATGCTTTTAAAGTAATGAAATCATTAGCTACCGAAATTGTATACTTTACAAACTCTAATATGTGATACATTACAGGTACCCAATAAAAGTATTATTTTGTGGAATGTATAGATATTTGAATTTCTATACAAAATATGAATTTCAGTATAGATACCTGTATTTTGATATTTAGTATGTTTTTAAACATACTCAGAAACCAAAATTTGAATTGGTTTGAAATATTTAAATTATATGGATATTATAATTGTACAATAAAAAATCTAAGAAAACTAAATAAAGGTTATTATTTTTAAGAGTATGTAACAAAATTGCACTATACCTTCTACTTCTTAACTCTCCAGTAACCAAAGGGACAACCATTTGTTTCTCCTAGTTGACAACGATGTAGTATCCACTTTGCATTCTAAACAGAAATTTGTACTATTTTACAAAATATTTGATAAAATGCTACACTATTAGAAATGGTACAGTGCTACGAAGTAAATGGCCGTATAAAATAGCGCACTCTATTACTGACGTGCACAAGTTGCAAGTACTGCAGTTAAAAAGGTACCATTGAGGTACCTGCAGTTCCTTTTCTAGTATAGTCGATAAAATCGATTTCTGCAACGTGTTAAAAAGACAAGCCTCAAAATCGGATGGTAAAAAACACCGAGGGTAATGAAGACTCCTTCATTTTTCATATTT